GGCTGCGGCATGCGGCGGTTCTGAAATCTGCGTGGGGCACTACGCTGGAATGTGCCGTCGCAAATCACCAAGGGCCGCAAGCTACAAAACTTCCAAAGTTGCGCAACCCCTAAACCCTAAACCCTAAACCCCAAGCCCTAAACCCTAAGCCCTAAACCCTAAACCCTAAACCCCAAACAAGGGTCCCCTAAGTGCAAAACACATGCTTTCCGTGGCTTGGTCCGTGTCCTGGAACGTGCGGAAACATATACATGGTTTTCGTAGGGTTTAGGGTTTAGGGTTTAGGGTTTAGGGTTTAGGGTTTAGTGTTTAGGGTTTAGGGTTTAGGGTTTAGTGTTTAGGGTTTAGGGTTTAGGGTGTAGGGTGTAGGGTTTGGGGTTTAGGGTACGGTCTATGGGATTTATAGGGGTTTCTAGGGCTTGCAGGGTTTACAGGGTTTGCAGGGTTTGTAGGCTTTAGGAGCTAGAAGTCGACTTCATGGAGCTACAACGGCGCTAGGGAGGTTAAATTGAGAGGCAATAGGAAAAGGTTTGGGGTTTAGGGAACATCTGAATCCGCAGGCCTAAAGCCACTTCGACTGCGCGAATTCTGCCGTAAGCCCTGACCCTAAGTGAACCCTAAACCCTTAGACCCCCACAGCTATTGCGGCTGCATCCTAGAGAGTCAAGACTTAGGGCTTAGGGTTTGGCTTGAAGGGGTTGGGGTTCAGGGGTTTAGGGTTTAGGGTTTAGGGTTTAGGGTTTAGGGTTTAGGGTTTAGGGTTTAGGGTTTAGGGTTTCAGGGTTTCAGGGTTTCAGGGTTTCAGGGTTTCAGGGTTTCAGGGTTTCAGGGTTTCAGGGTACAGGGCCGAGCCGTAAGCAAAGGCCCTTTCAGGCTGCAATAGCCATGATGTTAAGCCCTACAACCCCGAAACCCCAAACTCCTAATCCCCCCAAACCCTAAACCCTAAATTCTAAACCCTAAACCCTAAACCCTAAACCCTAAACCCTAAACCCTAAACCCTAAACCCTAAACCCTAAACCCTAAACCCTAAACCCTAAACCCTAAACCCTAAACCCTAAACCCTAAACCCCAAACCCTAAACCCTAAACCCTAAACCCCAAACCCTAAACCCTAAACCCTAAACTCTCCTTCCTCCCGAGGTCGTAATACCATGCCTCAACAGTTCCGACCACTGGGCCGTCAGCCCAGGACTGGCTTCCCTTTTTGCGAGGGCGCTGTGGGTTTGTGGTTTAGGGTTAGGGATGTTTAGGGTTTAGGGTTTAGGGTTTAGGGTTTAGGGTTTCGGGTTTAGGGTTTAGGGTTAGGTGTCTGCTGTAGATTCGGGTGGGCGCAGCCCTTTTGAAGATGAGACTCCTTGCGCCCAAAAACCCCCAAAAACCGTGGCTGCAAGAACTGCCAAGGTGAAGAATCTGGCTCAGATCGTCCGGGAGCACATCGCGGAGACTGCGCGCCGAGCCTTCTTCTGCTGATGGCTGGGTTGAGGTTTTGGGGTTTAGGGTTTAGGGTTTTGGGTTTGGGGTTTTGGGTTTGGGGTTTGGGGTTTAGGGTTTGGGTTTAGGGTTTGGGGTTTGGGGTTTGGGGTTTTGGGTTTTGGGTTTTGGGTTTTGGGTTTTGGGTTTTGGGTTTAGAGGTCCCCTTCCAGGGTGCGGGGTTTCGGGGCGTGGGGCCTGTGGATGTGTCTGGGGGGTTACATGAATTCAGGGTTTAGGGTTTAGGGGGTTTCAGGGGTTTAGGGTGCTTTAGGGTGCTTTAGGGTGCTTTAGGGTGCTTTAGGGTGCTTGAGGTTGCTTTGGGGTGCTTTAGGGTGCTTTAGGGTGCTTTAAGGTGCTTTAGGGTGCTTTAGGGTGCTTTAGGTTGCTTTGGGGTGCTTTAGGTTGCTTTAGGGTGCTTTAGGGTGCTTCTCTCATCCCCTGCCTCATACAGCGCTCCAGACAGCCCCGTATGAGCTCGTCAGTGCTTGGACTCGTAGACCGTAGACCCTAAACCCTAAACCCTAAACCCGAAAAATAAACCCTGGGCCCTAAACCCCAAACCCAACACCCCAAGCCCTAAACCCTAGACCCTAAACCAATATTCTTAAACCCCAAGCCCCAAAGCCCCAAGCGCCAAGTGCCAATAGCTCCTCCAGCAAGTCATGTGCCAGGCCCGCGACCCCATCGATGCCATTCAGTCGTCGCGTGCGCGACAGCCCAACCCCCGGCTCAGCTTTGTTTAGGGTTTAGGGTTTAGGGTGTAGGGCTTAGGGTTTAGGGTGTAGGGCTTAGGGTTTAGGGTTGTATTTTCATTCCTTAACTTTTTTGTAGATGTGTTCAAAGGGCTTGTTAGCTTCAGGGCGGAACCTTCTCTCCGTCGATTTACGGGGTTGGGGTTGGGGGGGCAAAACAGGGTTTAGGGTTTAGAGTGCAGGGTTTAGAGTCCAGGGTTTAGGGGTTTAGGGTTTGGGGTTTAGGATTGGTAGAGGGGTTGCGGAAAGGAGGGGTGTGGCGGGTGGAGGGGTGGAAGGTTCCATAAACCGTGTGAACTCAAGCCACAGAAATCCTTCAGTCCGGCGGATGAACTTCCTGTAGATACCTCCTTAGGTCAAACAGGGGGCCGTTTGGATTCTGCCCTTTTCTTTCAGGTCCTTGGTGCCCTAAACCCGAAGCGTTAAACCCTAAACCCTAAACCCTAAACCCTTAGCCCTAAACCCTGAACCCTAAACTGAAAAAAACCCTCAACCCTAAGCCCTAAACCCTTGCAGCAATAAGGCCTGGCTTTGAAGAGATGGAGGAGAAGAGCTTGCAAACAGCTGCGCAGCGAAATTTTCAGAGCGCGAACTCGGGCGTTGCACGTGGCTGAGAACAGGCCGAAACCAAGATGGACTCTTAAATTCCAAACCCTGAACCCCAATCCCTAAACCCTAAACCCTAAACCCTAAACCCTAAACCCTAAACCCTAAACCCTAAACCCTAAACCCTAAACCCTGAACCCTAAACCCTAAACCCCAAATCTCAGACTCCTTGGTAATGGCCTGGATCTTGTTCCGGGTTTTGCCATCAACTGCTTGTGCCACATCCATTGACGGCCTCATGTGAGGGTTCGGCGGCATCGTGTCTGGCATCCGGCGGTAAGAGTTCTCGACTCCCCCCAAGCCAAGCGCTTCTATCCCTAAACCCTGAACCCTGAACCCTAAACCCCAAACCCCAAACCCCAAACCCCAAACCCTAAACCCATGAGGCCCGTCCTTGGAAGTTCGATTGTTGAGTGCCCTAGTTGCTGTTGTGTCCTTCTCCGTGCAGGATGCAGCAATGCCTGGCCGTTGAGGCCGTTTTGTCAGGGACCCTTTTAACCCTTACCCCTAAACCCTAAACCCTAAACCCTAAATGCTAAACGCCAAATGCTAAACGCCAAACCCTAAACCCTAAACTCTAGAAGTGGCAGCCGGCATTGGCACCTGACGGACGTAAAATCGTTTCAATCCGCGTTCGACGGTCGAAGGGCCGTGGCGCGAGTCAACCTCAGGAAACATGTCTTCGGGTTTAGGGTCAAGGGTTTGGGGTTCAGGGGTAACAGGGTCCCTCAGCCACAGAGGCGTTTAGGGCAGAGTCTTTTGTCGCAAAGAATCTCTTGTACTCGCGCCAGTCTTGCTCATGGTGCTGCGCAAATGCTGCTAGCGGAATGAACTTTTGAGGTTCGGGTTTCAGTCGCTCAAGATGTGTTGAGCACAATCCGTGTTGTCGCGTTGGCACAAAAACTGCGCCCGCTGCTTTTCAGCACCTTGCCTCCAATGTCCAGCACGAGGCCACCAAGAGGCGTACTCTTGCAACCCTAGCCCTAATGTTAACCTCACATCTATAAATGGGGTGGCAACTGTAATATTCGCCGGGCCAGAGGGGCTCAGCCGAAGACTACTTTCCATTACGGGAGGTTTTCGGGCCGATGTGTGTAAACAAGTCTATATAGGGGGGTCCGGTGAAAATAATAAGGGGGTGACAACAGTAAAATTTGGCCGGCCAGGAATCAGAAATTTTACTTGCAGAGAAGACTTTTCGAGCTCCGAGGCTCTAGAGAAGCAGATCTCGTTTGAGATTGCTTGTCTTGTGAGATTGCTGCAGCTCCAGAGCTGCGAGAAACTGTTGCTTCAGGCCTGTTGCTTCAGAGAAGCAGGTGCCTCTTCAGATTGCTGCAGCTCCAGAGCTGCGAGAAACTGTTGCTTCAGGCCTGTTTCTTCAGAGAAGCAGGTGCCTCTTGAGATTGCTGCAGCTCCAGAGCTGCCAGAAACTGCTGCTTCAGGCCTCTTTCTTCAGAGAAGCAGGTGCCTTTTGAGATTGCTGCAGCTCCAGAGCTGCGAGAAACTGGTGCTTCAGGCCTCTTTCTTCAGAGAAGCAGGAGCCTTTTGAGATTGCTGCAGCTCCAGAGCTGCGAGAAACTGGTGCTTCAGGCCTCTTTCTTCAGAGAAGCAGGAGCCTTGCACAGATACGGAAGCTCAAGCCCTGCAGCAGAAGCTTAAACCCATTGTCTGCAGCTACAGAGAAGCTCCCCAAAAAAGACTTGGTGCAGATGCGAAACCCCAGTGTGTCCAGCCACAGAGTGCTGCGAAATCTCTCCATAGAATCAGATGCGAATGCCTCAGATTTGCCGGTGCAGAAGCTCGAAAAAAAAACCTACGACAGCAGCGAAACCCCAGTGTGTGCAGCCACAGAGTGCTGCCAAATCTCTCCATAGAATCCGATGCGAATGCCTGAGATTTGCAGGCGTAGAAGCTCAAAAAAAGACCTACGACAGCAGCGAAACCCCAGTGTGTGCAGCCACAAATTGCCGCCAAATCTCTCCATGGAATCAGATGCGAATGCCTGAGATTTGCAGGCGTAGAAGCTCAAAAAAAGACCTACGACAGCAGCGAAACCCCAGTGTGCGCAGCCACAGACTGCTGGCAAAAAGCTTCAAAAAAGAGACTCGGAACAGAAGCAAAGCCCCAGTGCGTGCAGCCATGTGCAGCCCCGTCACAGCAGAAAATTTCACTTCAGAGGTGCCAGACCCAGGCTCACACGAAGCTTGTTGAGCAGATACCGTTCGCGCTTCTCCCAGCAGCAGTCCAAGCAGCCACTCTGCCAGCTGCAGCGACTGCAGATTCGAAGCCCAAACTGCCTGATGTGCTCAATTTCCGCCTTCTCTGAGGCAGAAAGATCAGAGGCTTCAGGCTCCTTCCCCTGGTTCAGGACCTCGTGGGCCAGAGCAGCAGCTTTGGTCGATGCTTCAGAGGCTGCTGCGTGAGACGCAGCCAATTTCAGAGCCTTGGCATGATTGGCTTTGAGCGCCTTTTTCAGAGCCTTGTCCTCGTCGGCCAGACTCTTCTCCAGCTTCTTCTGCTCTTCAGCCATTTGACCCACCCAGGTCCGCAGAAAAGCAACCAGGTCCATGACCAGCCTGCTGCGTGAGCCACGAGAGGCTGGCCCCTCGCCACGAAGTTGGCAGCAGATCCACAGGATGCTCGCCAGCGCCCAGAACCCACAGTCATCGCTCTTCTGCAGAGGGCATTTTGCCCGGTCAGGCAAGACAGCCCCTGGAATCAGAGCTTCCAGCAGCAGCTGCGCGTTCTGAGCACAATTCTTGTGCACTGTGGCCAGAGTGTCCAGGTACTGAATGCAGACCTCGTCTCCCTCTCTTCTGTCCAGAACCAGCAGAGTCCAGTGACAAGGCGGACCAGGAGCCCAGACAGGCACAAAGAGCAGCTTGTAGTCAGTGGCCTCGTGCGCCAGAGCCGGCGGCAGCAGACCAGGGTTTGGATGCTCCTGGTACAGAAACTGCACGCAGAGCCGAGGGTCCAGAAGCCGGACAGAGTGCTTGCGGAAGAAGTCAGGCTCCTCAGACTTCTCGTCCCAGAAATGCCACCTCAGCATCTCCCAGCCCATGAGCAGATGCTGATCCAGAAGCATCTGAGGCTTCTTCTGGATCAGCTCCACAGTCGCAGAGGCATAGCTGTCCTCCTCCAGACTCAGACGAATGCCCAGACAAGCCTTGCAGACAACCTGCTTCAGAGCACGTTTCAGGTGCATGCCCTTCCACTTCAGAGGCGGTAGCCAGGCTTGCTCCACTTCGCAGACATCGTCAGCAAACAGAGTCGTTGTGGCACAGGTCGCACCCACACCTGTCAGAGTCACAGTGCCCAGAAGAACATTGTGGGCAGTGCACTTGCCAGACTTCCCACAGTTGGCCTCCTCCAAGAGCACCCTACAGGTCTTCCCAAACAGAGGTCCCTTGTCAGCGGCGGGAAGTTCAGCAGCCTTGGCAGAGACAGGGTCAGAGAGTGCGGAGGCGGCCAGAGGTGGCTTGGCAGAGCCACTCTGCTCCTCCAGAGCCTCTTGGTCCTCCAGAGCCTTCTGCTCTTTCAGGGCCTTGGCCAGACCCATCTTCTTGACCACAGCTTTGCTTGCAGTCTTGAGCAGATTCTTCTTGACAGACTTCTTTGTCTGAGATTTGGGCTCAGCAGCACGAGGAACCAGACGAGCCAGAGCTTGCTGCTGAGACATCGTCTTCAGACGATGCCTCATGGCCTCCAGAAGCTTGCCATGCAGCTTCTTCTTAGCCAGAGCCAGCATGGCCTTGACATCCCTGCGTTCCCGCTTCTTTGCCAGAGCGTCATCAGAGGTGGCCAGCTGCTTCCGCCAGGCTGTCCTCTGAAGATCCAGACTCAGGGTCAGAACCCCAGACTCAATGCACGGGATTTGCAGATCCTCGGGGAGTTCAGGCACAGTGAGCAGAGCTTCCTCTTCAGAGGACAGCACGTGAGGATGGTTCAGCGACCACTCCACCAGATCCGCAACGGCTTGGGCGCCAGCGATGGCAGACCAGTCCGGCTTCACAGGCACAGAGCCCACACGCCAGAGGAAGCGGTCCTCCAACCAGGATGGCTTCGTGCGAGCAGAGCCTGCAAAAGAAAAAGCTACGTCGTCAGTTAAGAAAGACAGAGTGCCAGTTACAGAAGCATCAGATCGTTATGAAATCGTCAGACCTCAATATATGCAGCCTAAAGACCCATGCTTTGGCCGCAGCACTCTGCATCCGTCAGAGGCACCAGTTTGCCAGAGCTCAAGTCAGGCTTGTAAGCCAGAATGCCATTCCGCCTCAGACCAGAAACGATCCAGTCCTTCTCGTCCTGCCTGCGAGACATCTCGTCTTGTGCAGAGACCACACAGCGGATCAGATCGAGGTGGGAGCAGTGCCAGATCTCCTTGTTCCCAGAGGCGAACAGAGCTGTCTGGCCAGCATGCCTGACAAGGGAACAGATGAGCTTCAGAAGAAACAATCGCTCAGAGACCCTGAAGACACTTCAGAAACCCCTTGCTGGCCTCAGACGATCCATTTCAGAGCGACACAGACTCTTGAAGCTCCGAGAGAAGTCTGTGTCAGTCAACTGCAGACTCGCAGTCATCTTAGGACCAATAATGGTCTGCAGATGGTTGCTGTAAAGCAGAGACTCGGCGGCAGAGGAGGACCAGGCCGCAGCGTAGCAGTCTCGCTGCTGGATGCAGACAGGCGTCAGAGCCGCCAGCTCCTGCTGGGCCCAGACGTAGATGACGCCATCTACGTTTGCAGACGGCTGACTCATCACAGAGATACGTCTGAAGAGTTCTGGGTCAGACTGTCTGGCTTTCCGCCAGCCAAAGAGCAGACGGCCGGCAGAGGTCTTCGCCTTCCGCACCACCAGAGTGCCGTTGTATTCGAAGGTCTCATCAGAGATGAACTTGCCAGCAGAGTCTATGTTGTTCAATCGAGCATGCGCTCCATGAACAACTAACAGACCCGGCAGCACCTTGCCCACAAGAGGAGCATCGGAGCAGAGGTTGTACAGACCCTGTCTGGCCTCGTACGTCAGACGGTACCTGTGTGCATCAGGTCAGCAAAAGACCGTTTCTGACGCTGTCCAGAGTTCTTGCGTTTCTCAGTCACAGCAGGCAGCTCAGCCGACAGCAGAGGCGGCACCTGGCTGTCGGAGGTCCGGTCAGCAAGAGTGCGGGTGTGGTGGTCCAGAAGCTCTTGTCTCAGCAGAGACTGCGGGTACGGGTCAGACTCCCATTTCGCATACACCTCCTTCTCAGAACCAGACTTCAACCACAGGGGCACCTGGTCGGCGAAGAGCAGGACCATGGACTGCAGGTTGGCACGCAGAACAGCAGGTTTGCTGACCCTTTCCCGCAGTTCTGCCTCAGGGCCGAAACAGGTCAACCAGAGGGTGTGGTCCAGGGCCTGGTAGGTCAACTTTGCACGAGCCACCTCGTCAACCTCAGAGACCTGAGTCTTCAGGTCCGGGACCATGTCCTTCGCTCGCAGATCTTTCATCAACTGCTTGAGACGGTTCCTTCCAGAGTCCACCGCAGAAGACTTGAGCTGCTTCTCACCTTCAGAGACCAGTTGAAGCAGAGCGGCTCGCTCGTGGCGGTCCACAGCAGCCTCAGACTGCTGCCGCAGATCCAGAAGCTCCTTCGTCATCAGCAGACGCCACTGCTCCAGAATGTGGACCTTCTTGACAGAGTGGCCGTGGCAGCGCTGGGTCTCAAACCAGACAAGCAGACTGTCTCGGACAGCCGTGAAGGCAGACTTCCTCCCACCACCAGGCAGACGGTATCCACGATACCGGCGCTGCGTCGCAGTCCTCTTCAGGCCTTTGGCCCCAGTAGAGACGTGAGGTTGCAGAGCGAAGCCATGGTGCTTCTGCAACCTCGCCAGAATGTCTCTGCGCTGCCAGATCTTCCGGACCTTCATCAAAGACAAGCCCATCTTCTTGCTCATCGCTGTCAGCAAGGTGTGCTCAGAGCTGAAGTCAGGCAGCGCTTTCTTCATCTTCAGCGTCAGAGCATGCTGGACCGCCAGAGGCATCTCAGAGCTACGGCTGGCCCTGCGGCCCTTGGGCCTGCCGCCCTGCCTCCGCCTCCTCTCAAACTCTTGGCGAACACCAGATTGCTCGAGGCGCCGCTTCTCAGAGGCTGCTTTAGCAGCTTGCTCAGATGCAACTTCTCTGAGAACCTGCTTCATGGCCTCAGACATAGGCCTGCCTTTGGCTTGCGGAGCGGGCTTGTCTCGCAGAGCCGGCAGGTAAGCTTCCGGGTGGTCAGGCTTGCAGAACCGCAGCAAGGTCGTCTGCTTCTCAGTCCGCGGCCAGAAGCCTGCCAGCAGAAGAACTTGGCAGAGTGCTGAGAATAATATCAAGAAGAAGAAAAAGACAAGATCGAGTCCCTCAGACGATCCTTCAGCCTTCGGGTCCTGGTCTAAGTCTGAAGAGAACAGTCCCTGAAGCTTAAGACTTCAGCCTTCGGGTCCTAGTCTAAGTCTGAAGAGAAAAGTCCCTGAAGCTTAAGACTTCAGCCTTCGGGTCCTGGTCTAAGTCTGAAGAGAAGAGTCGCTGAAGCTTAAGACTTCAGCCTTCGGGTCCTGGTCTAAGTCTGAAGAGAACAGTCCCTGAAGCTTAAGACTTCAGCCTTCGGGTCCTGGTCTAAGTCTGAAGAGAAGAGTCCCTGAAGCTTAAGACTTCAGCCTTCGGGTCCTGGTCTAAGTCTGAAGAGAAGAGTCCCTGAAGCTTAAGACTTCAGCCTTCGGGTCCTGGTCTAAGTCTGAAGAGAAGAGTCCCTGAAGCTTAAGACTTCAGCCTTCGGGTGGTCTAAGTCTGAAGAGAAGAGTCCCTGAAGCTTAAGACTTCAGCCTTCGGGTCCTGGAATTCAGGAAACCGGCACAGGTCTGAAAGCTCGGTTTCCTTACTAAAATCCTTATCCGCCGGAGCTCGAAAACAAGTCCGGCAAGGGTACCCCTTACGGGCCTCGAAAATGACAATAATAAAGGGTGGCAATAATGAATTCGGCGACGGGGGGGGGGGGGACCAAGAAGCCTTAAGTTTAAATTGCTTCCTGTAATTAAGTCTCAAGACAAGAGTCCCTTAAGCTTAAGACTTCAGCCTTCGGGCCCTGGTCTAAGTCTCAAGACAAGAACCCCTGAAGCTTAAGACTTCAGCCTCCGGATCCTGGAATTCAGGAAATTGCCAGAAATCTGAGAGCAGGGTTTCCTTAACTTCATCTCTCAAGCAAGAAGCACACAGAGAAGCTAAGCTGCCTCCAGACTTGTCTGCTGGGTCTGCTGGTACCAGAGCAGAGCTTGCAGAGGGTAGAACCAAAGCAGACCTTGCGGTCTCAGGCTGCTGAGCCATTTCATCTTCAGAAGAAGAAATCTCCACAGCCATTGCTGCGAGATCTAGCTGCCTACAGCAAGCAGTCTTGTGGCCACAATGGCCTGCCTGCAGAACAAAAACATGAGTGGCAGAGAGGTGCCTTATCTGCAGAAGCCAGGCAGTCAACAGACGGGGCAAGAAACTCCATCCCTCAGACTCCTCCGACCTTTTGCTTCGCTGCTTTACAGAGCCACAGAAGTCTCAGATTCAAAACCTTTTGCTTGGCTGCTTCACAGAGCTACCGAAGTCTCAGACTCAGAGCCCTCTACGTCTTCCCACTCAGAGTCCGCCTCGCAGACAGAAGAACGCTCAGAAGTGGGGGTCTGGGCCTCAGAGTGGCCCAGCTCAGAGATGTCTTCTGCAGACATCACATGGACCCGAGAGGCCCAAGGCAGCCACAGACGAGATCCGACAGAGACATCTCGTCTGCTGCAGAGCCACCCAGAAAGTGTCCAGCTCCGAGCAGAGCCTCCGTCAGCCAGATCGGTGAATTGCTCACCAGTGGCCAGACACCACCACTTGTCGCAGCCAGGCAGATCGAGAAAGGCACAGATCTCGACTGCAGCTTCTTCGCAGAGCCCGAAGCGTCGCTTCAGAGTCAGAACAGCAGCGTAGGTGGCAGCAGAGCTCGCAGCATTCGCAGCCATGCTAGACTCTCTTCAGAGTACAGAGCTTCTGTGCCAAAAAATCAGCGAAGCAGAATCAACCAAGCTTCCAAACTCAAACTGCAGCAGGACTGTCTCAGACACGAGCGAAGCAAGGAGCGAAGCAGAATGTTTTTTTAAGCGCAAGCCGTGAGCCGAATCAGCCTGCGACTGGCCAAGATCCTTTGGACAGAAGCCAACTAAACTACTCTGCTAGCGGATCAGAGTTCAAGTTCCGCAGGTGATCCTTCTGATCTTCGGACAGACTGTCCCAGATCCCAAGAAAGGGCTCAGGGGCGTTCAAGAGGGCCTCCTCGCTCACGCCCTCCATCTGCAGAGTGGTTGCGTCAGACTCCGGAGACTGTTGAGAGTACCCCAGGTCGTCAGGTTTCTCCTTCAGAGGGGCCTTGGGGGTCTGCGGGGCAGGCTTCTTGTCTGGCGTGCACAGACCAGACGCCTCAGACTCAGGAAGAGGAGACGGGGGAAGCTTCGCAGCAGGCTTCTTTGTCGACTTGTTCGCAGAAGGTTTCTTCAGAACTTTGCCCATGGCTCTCTCAGAGTCCCAAAATTTTAAGAACAGTAATTAAGGCCAGCCGAAACTTTTCATGTGCAGACAACAATAAATTTGTCAACCAAATGTTCAATCCAGACATGTGTGCGACAGACATGCAGCTGCACTTGCAACCAGATTGTTTTGGGCACCTTCAGACACCGCGTGCTTGCTTTCTTAAAAAAGCTGAGCTCGACCGCTCCAAAACAGAAACAAAACAAAACAGAAACCCCAGCTAACTGAACCCTAAACAAGTTAAACCCTAAGTCCTGAACCCTGAACCCTGGAACCCTGAACCCAAAACCCTAAACCCTAATTAAACCATTAAACCCTAACAGCGGGAGCCAGCAGAGTCTGCTCTTCAGATCAGAGCGTGGCATCTCAGCAGAGCCTGCCCATATTAATTAGGGTTTAGGGTTAAGGGTTAAGGGTTTAGGGTTGAGCCGCATAGGGGGGGGGGGGGGGGGGGGTGAGGGACTGTGTTCGTGTTTATACATATGTAATTCTATATAATCATATATGTATATATGTATAGATACATATATATATATATATATGTGTGTATATACACAGAAAAAATAAAAACATATCATCTAAACCCTCCTTGTAATTGTATATATATATATATATGTATTTATATTTATATTTGTATTTATATTTATACACATATTTATATATGGTGAGAAATTATATAATTATATGAATATACATGTGTATATATATACATACATATATATATATATATATATATAAACATATATATATATATACACATAACCCTAAACCCTCAACCCTTAATTAACCCTCAACCCTCAACCCTAAACCCTCAACCCTCAACCCTAATTAAACCCTCAACCGTAATTAGGGTTGGGGGTTTAGGGTTTAGGGTTTAGGGTTTAGGGTTTAGGGTTTAGGGTTTAGGGTTTAGGTTTTAGGGTTTAGGGTTTAGGGTTTAGGGTTCAACCCTCAAGCCTCATTAAACTCTAAACCCTCAACCCTAAACCCTCAACCCTGAACCCTAATTAAACCCTCAACCGTAATTAGGGTTGGGGGTTTAGGGTTGAGGGTTTAGGGTTTAGGGTTTAGGGTTTAGGGTTTAGGGTTTAGGCCTCAAGCCTAATTAAACCCTAAACCCTGAACCCTATAACTAAACCCTCAACCCTAGTGCACTAAACCCTCAACCCTAATTAAACCCTAAAACCTCAACCCTAAACCCTCAACCCTAAACCCTCAACCCGAATTAAACCCTCAACCCTAAACCCTAAACCCTCAACCCTAACCCTCAACCCTAAACCCTAAACCACCCCCCTCCCCCCCCCCTTCCAGATCTGGCCTCGGCCAGATAAAAGAGAGATCAGATACCAGATCTCAGCAGATCCTGCCCAGAAGGAGGGATTAAAAGGGTTTAAGGAAAGTTGGTTTAGGGTTTAGGGTTGCATTGGTGTTTAGTTAGGGAGGAGGATTCAGAAAGGTTCACCCATCGGGTTAAACCCTAAACCCTAAACCCTAAACCCTAATTAAACCCTTGTCGCCTCGACCGGAGCAGGGTTCAGAGATGCACCAGCCAGAGTCGCAGACACCTGTCAGGGTCCCGAACAAAACCAGATTTAGGTTGTGGGGTTTAGGGTTTAGAGTTTAGGGTTTAGTTAGGGGTTTAAACCCCAAACCCAAAACTTGAAAGGGCCTCAGCCAGAGGGGGCAGCAGAGGAGCCCAGAGCTGGCAGCTGGGGGCGCATGTAGGCGTCAGGCCACCAGACCTGAAAAGGGGCTCACAATACTACCCAATAAACCCAAATTAACTAAACCCTAAACCCTAATTAAACCCTAAACACTCCAAAGCCCTGAGCCCTCAATCCCAGGCCTGGTCGACAAGGTTGGCCCAGCTCCTTTGGTTAAAGGCCGCCAGGTCACGCAAATACGTCTGATGTTGCTTCATGTCGACCAAGCCTAGGATGAGGGTTTAGGGTGTAGGGTTTAGGGTTTAGGGCTTCATTAATTAATTAGGGCTTAATTCGAGTTTTATTAGGGTTCAGGGTTGAATTGGGGTCTTGCATAAAACCCTTGTTTAGAAAGGCAAAAAGAGACCAGTACCAGACAAGAAACAGCTCTGGAGCCAGAGGGTCCAATCACCCACCTCCTGGCCAGAGTTCAGGGCATTGCGAGCCAGAAACACATCAGACCTCAGATGGCGAACCCTAGTTAAACCCTAATTAAACCCGAAACCCTCATCAACCCCTCAACCCTGATTAACTAAACCCTAAGATACACTAGACTGTTGAGAATCCCAGAAGCAGATTGTAGGCCCACCGGCAGTTGTCGTTGATGCGCTGCAGCATGTCCATCGGCAGATCCTCCAGGGTCGAGATTCAGGAAAAGAACCCAAACCCTAAACCCTAAACCCTCAACCCTATTAAACCTAAACCCTTGTTATTTCGGGACACTTAGGGATTCTATAGGTCCTCCTGGACGCCAGAGTACAGCAGCTCATTCTGGCAGACAAACAGGGCCAGATAGCCTCGGATTCAACTACCAAACCCTTCACTGTAAACCCTAGTTAAGCCCAAACTTAACCACAGCAGAACCCCGCCATGCTGTCCAGTGACAGATGTGCTCCCACATGCGCAGATTGCCTCCAGGGACGCCATCACTCAACCCTAACCCTAAACCCTAAACCCTAACCCCTAAACCCAAACTAAACCCTAAACCCCAAATACAAAAATGGGCGAGGCACCGCCGCAGAGAAGGAAACGTTCCATTTCCCCACGGATTCTGCTCGAGAGCACCGACCGCCGGCTGTACCCAGCCTTATGGGTTTAGGGCTTAGGGTTTCATTAATATGGGTTTAAGGTTTCAGTAAGGTTTCATTTAGAGAAAAAACAGTACTTAAAGACAGGGTGCGGAGTGCACCCATCCGCGCCCGTCCCGGCCAGTGTCATAGATCCAGAGCTCGTGCGCCAGAGCCCTCAGCAGGGTCTTCATGCTACACTAAACCCTAAACCCCCAAACCCTAATTAAACCATATATTAAATACATTCATTAATTACAGAAAAGGCTAATTACTGGTGGGTGCCAAGAAACTGCACCCTGGCAGTGTAATGCTTCCCAGATCCAGCCGGCAGAGGCCCCTCAGATCCGAGAACCCTAAACCCTAACTGGCCCTTATTAAACCCCAACCCTAAACCCTAATTCTTCCAACCCCAACCCTAAACCCTGATTAAACCACAGAGCCCAAGCCCACAGATTACACCTCTGCAGAAAAGGCACAGGGCCAGATGGCAGAACTTCATCCAAGCCACCAGAACCGTGGGGGGCTTGCGATGCCGTGGGTGGACCAGAGGCCTAATTAATTTAGGGGGGAGGTTTGCAGAGGGGGGAAAGGAAAACGTTGCCGCCAAAAAACCAGAGCATGGCCAGAGCCAGTGCCCGGGCCAGAGCCATTGCCACCAGGCCCAGCAGCCTCCAGGCAGAAACCCCTAAACCCTAAACCCTAAACCCTAATGAACCCCTAAACCCTAAAGCGAAAATTGGTGCCAAGAGACACCAGAGTCAGCCCCAGGGGCACCAGGGGCACCAGAGCCCGTGCCGGCAGCCTCCGGGTGGAAACCCTAAACCCCAAACCCAGAACACCCTGAATTAATTGAGGAGGAGAGGTTACAGAGGGGGGGGAAAGCAGAATCTTGGTGCCAAGAGACGACACCAGGGGCGGCACCAGATCCATCCCCACCAGGGAGCAAGGAATTCAGAGAGGCCTCAGATCTTTCTGGGGGGGTTCAGACTTGGGGGTGGGGTTGAGGGAGAAGGAATTTCAGCCCAGTGGCCGGGTCAGGGGGGGCCTCAGACCCAGCACCAGCCATGGCCGAGGAGATCTCCATTTCCTCAGATTCGAATTTTTAACCCCCCCCCCCCCTCCCCACCCGGACGCACAGCCAGAACAAATAACCAGACAGAGCCAAGAGGCCACAGAGCGACGGTCCATGGCAGCAGAGCAGGACAACAGACCAACAAACAGAACAAGTCGGGCCCACAGAGCAAAAGGTGCTGCAGAGAGCAAGCAGAACCCTTCGAGACCAAGCACAACAGACCCTGACAGCTAACCCCCCCCCCAAGACCCCCAGAATCCGCATTATTGGCACCCACTCGTTTTTTTCTACCCCTCCAAACCCCGCGGACCAAAACAAGTTTTTTTCTACCCCCCCAAACCCCGCGGACCAAAACAAGTTTTTTTTTTTTTGGGGGGGGGGGGTTTATTAAAGCGACGTTAACATTATACCCGAAACCCTACACCAAACCCTAAATCCTAAACCCTAAACCCTAAACCCTAACCCTAAACCCCAAACCCCAAGCCCCAAACCCGAAACCCTAAACCCTAAACCCTAGACCCAAAACCCTAAACCTTAGCCCTAAGCCCTAAGCCCGAAATTGCTAGAAGTTGTGGCGCCATCCCTGTAGCCGCTCAGGCTTGGGGGCTGTTCCCTTGGTACAGACGTAGCCGTAAGCGTGTCCGCATGACGTACGGGCGACCCGAAGAGGGTTCTAGGGTTTAGGGTTTAGGGTATAGGGTTTAGGGTACTTTAGATATTGTTTCCCAAACAACGAAGTAACTTGTTGCTCCGAAGCCCCCACTGCGACTTGAATGTTGCAGACGAGTAGGCATTAGCCATGCTGGCCGTGAACGTGGAGTGCGTGGAGTTGCAGGGGAGGATCCCTCGAAGAAGGCGAGCCGGATCTCAGACTCGGCCGACGGGGCCCTCAGCGCACGTGCGCGCCTCGCAGCCCAACGTTGCCGCTGTTTCCTGCCTCTTGGGTTTGGCTCTCGGTGGCTGTGAGGTGTGGCGACTGCCCCGTCTGAAGCAGAAGTTCCAGAGAGGTTTCCGAAGGTTAAGGGCGGAGCCGGAGGTGTCTACAGTTGCTCGACCCGAGGCAGATACCGACTTGCAGGAGGGCGATGTGATGGAAGTGCAGTCGGGTCACGTGCCGTGGTTGCAAAAGCATCTGCCACAGGAAGAGGACTGCGAAGATCTACTGCTACTCTTCATGCAGGCGCTTGAAGAGAGAGGTGTGCAGCTGTACAAGGCGCAAGAGGAAGCAATCGTGGAGATCTTCTCTGGTGCCCACGTCGTGCTGGACACCCCAACCGGAAGTGGAAAGTCATTAGTTGCCGTTGCTGCGCTCTTTAAGGCGCTGGCGGAAGGCAACAGGGCCTACTATACATCGCCCACCAAAGCACTTACCAGCGAGAAGTTTTTCGATCTGTGTCGCCACTTTGGACCTGCTAGCGTTGGCATGGCCACAGGCGACATCTCCCTGAACCAGCGGGCGCCTTTGATTTGCTGCACGGCCGAGGTCCTCGCCAGCATCTCCCTACATGAGGGGGAGGCTTCCGGCATTAGCACCGTGGTCATGGACGAGTTCCTTGGGACATTCAGTGGTGCCCGGGTTTTCTACCTCTTTTTGTTTCTTGAAGGGCCCGGTTCCACCCGACACCCCATTTTTGTACAACACAAGGCTTTTTTGGCACGAGTTCCGAGGATGGTTTGACAAACCGGTTTGAGGGTTTAGAGTCTTATTTCGGGAAGTTTAGGGCTTAGGGTTCAGGGCTTCAGGGGTTCAAGGTTTAGGGTTTAGGGTTTCGGGTTCATCAGCAAAAGGGGTTTAGGGCTGAGGGCTTGGAGTCTCATGGCGATGAAAACCTAAACCCTGAACCCTAAACCCTGAACCCTAAACCCTAAACCCTAAACCCTAAACCCTAAACCTTAAACCCCAAGACCAAGGTTCCATTACTTCGCCGACCCAGACCGGGGCTCGGCCTGGGAGGTACCGCTCTGGCGCATGACTGGCACCGCCTTCCTCCTGATGCTGGGCTTTAGGGTTTAGGGTTTAGGGTTTAGGGTTTAGGGTTTAGGGTTTAGGGTTTAGGGTTTAGGGTTTAGGGTTTAGGGTTTAGGGTTTAGGGTCAGGGTTTGGGGTTTAGGGTTTAGGGTTTAGGGCTTAGGGTTGCGGGTACTTGTGTGCTTTGGAGTAGGGAACGTAAGTTCTAAATGAAGCGACCATGTGGCTTCGACAAATTCAGAAAATGCTTCATACCACATATATATATACACATATTAATGCATATCTATCTATCTATCTATGCCGACATGTATACATATATATATATATATACTTACATATGTATATACATTATATATATATATATATATGTATAGTCATCGATGGAAGCAGATCGCTTCCTCAACTTCACCTTCGACGTTCCCCAACAGCAGCCCAGGATGTCTGGCACGCTGGGCGCCAACGGCGGCCTCTACCGGACCCTGGAAGAGCGCTCCGGGCGGCCGGTGCCCCCCCTGGGTTCTTAGGATTTAGGGTTTAGGGTTTAGGGTTTAGGGCTTAGGGTTTAGGGTTTTGGGGCATAATGGAATTGGGGCCCTACATATACCCTTTACGGGATTGTATAAGGGAATGAGGGAAGTTGGGCCGCATATATCTACATATATCTATATATAGATATATATAGATATAGATATAGAGATATATATACATATATACATATACACATATACATATATACATATATACATATATACATATATACATATATACATATATACATATATACATATATATAGATATACACCCCTTAATTCCCTCATTCCCTGCTAAGAGAAGCAGCCAGGTGCGCGTGGTGTCTTCGCAGGACCGGCCCGTGCCGCTGCACTTTGCCTACAGCGAGGCATCCGTGGCGGCCTCCGTGGCCCAGCTGCTGCGCTCCCAGAGGCTTGGCAGCCCCAGTGGTGTGCCCTTTTCCCCTTTGTTTGGGTTCAAGGTTCCCTTAGAAAGCAACCCCTTAAACCCTAAACCCTAAACCTTTAACCCGTAAACCCTAAACCCTACGCCCTACACCCTGAAAACCCTAAACCCTAAACCCTAAACGTGTTATTGTATGGGTACTGTGCTACCAAGGAGGTTTCCAGTGTACGTCGTGCACTTCTCGCAGCGAGAAGCCCTCCGGACTGCCAGGGAGATGGCCGACGCCAAGGCCAGGATGTGGAAAGGTTTGGGGTTTAGGGTTCAGGGTTTGGGGTTTGGGGTTTGGGGTTTAGGGGTTTGGGGGGTGAACCCTAAACCCTAAATGAGAACAGCTTGGGTGCTTGGGGTGGGACTGCATGCTAACGCAAGCAAGCGGCCCGGGTGCTTTTAGCACCAGCGAGCTTCCCTTCTATACACCCTAAACCCCAAACCCCAAACCCCAAACCCCAAACCCCAAACCCCAAACCCCAAACCCCAAACCCCAAACCCCAAACCCCAAACCCTAAACCCTAAACCCTAAACCCTAAACCCTAAACCCTAAACCCTACACCCTAAACCCTAAACCCTAAACCCTACTCAGGCAGCAGACGGACGCTGCCTGCTCGCCTCTGCGCTGGACCAGGATGGCCGGGAGGAGGCGGCGGGGACCGCTGGGATTCGGGTCTTCGGGTTTAGGGTTTAGGGTTTAGGGGTTCAGGGTTTAGGATTTAGGGGTTCAGGGTTTAGGGTTTGGGGTTTAGGGTTTAGGGTTTGGGGTTCAGGTTTTCCGGTTTAAGGTTGCGAGAGTTTGGGGTTTCGGCATTTAGGGGGTTCCTGGGAGCGCCCCTCCTCATCCGCCAACTCCTCAAACCCGGAAGCCCCGGAGGCCGCGCCATTGTTGAAGATCATTTTTACATCACTTATGAATACTTAAAACCCAAGAAGGAACTAACATGATAATAAACCCAAGAAGGAACTAACATGATAATAAACCCAAGAAGGAACTAACATGATAATTTTAGATAGTACCCCAGCAATGGTGCAGGAGCCCCGAATAAACGCGAGCACTAGAGTCACTAGGGCATCATGGCCCATGGGCGATGTCTCAGGGCTATGGCGCATCCGTAGCTCGACCTACCAGGTTGACTTGCAGGTTCTTAGTAGGGGAATTGGGAAATGAGGCGCCAGGGGATTTGTTAGAGGGTTGTATGTCATTATTGTGCTGCAGAATCACTTCCACAATTTGAAGGGACTGTCGATGTTCTTAACCCAGTTTCTCACAATCAGGAGTGAGTGCCAATGTGATTCTTTCTTGCATCCTCAATTTAGACATCCAGCCCTCAAGCTGCCAATTGGGAGATTCTGAGGTCTACGCCTTAATCAACCTCTTACAGACGGGTCAGATCAAGAACTGCATGCCCTCGATTTCTTAAGTTGGGATTTCCCTCCTCCCCCCTCGCCAAACAAGGAAATTCAGCTTCAATTTCTTAGATTCGAAAATCCAGCCCCTCGATTTCTTTATTTGGCTCTCCCCCCCCCCTCCCCGAAATCCAGCACTGGATTCTTCCCCCAAATTGAGAACTTGATGGGCTGGATGTCTTAACTTTAAGACATTGAGGGGATGGATATCTCATTGTTGACAATTCAAAGACATTGCCCTTCAGTCGCCCGTTTTGGGAGAATGCACCTGCCGCAGAAGAACGCTTCCTTCCCCGGCAGAGGGCACCCTAAACCCTAAACCCTAAACCCTAAACCCTAAACCCTAAACCCTAAACCCTAAACCCTAAACCCTAAACCCTAAACCCTAAACCCTAAACCCTAAACCCTAAACCCTAAACCCTAAACCCTAAACCCTAAACCCTAAACCCTAAACCCTAAACCCTAAACCCTAAACCCTAAACCCTAAACCCTAAACCCTGAACCCTAAACCCTAAACCCTAAACCCTGAACCCTGAACCCTAAACCCTAAACCTTAAACCCTAAACCCTAAACCCTAAAACCCTAAAACCCTAAAACCCTAAAACCCTAAAACCCTAAAACCCTAAAACCCTAAAACCCTAAACGATTTCTGAATCTAGTCCTGCTCTCACTTCTTGCATGACCGGCATGTCCCCATGCCGACCTCCACCCCAAATCCAAAACCCTAACCCTAAACCCTAAACCCTAAACCCCAAACCCTAAACCCTAAACCCTAAACCCCAAACCCTAAACCCTAAACCCTCCTTGGAGGGGTCGGAGGCCTTGCGGCGAGCTGTGGAGGGCGCGAGCTTCGCCTCGCCCTTCGGCGCCGAGCTCCGGGCGCTGCTGCTGCCGGGGGGCCCGCATTGCATATAAATCACCCTAAACCCTAAACCCTAAACCCTAAACCCTAAACCCTAAACCCTAAACCCTAAACCTTAAACCCTAAACCCTAAACCCCTAGACCCTAGACCCTAGACCCTAAACCCTAAACCCTAAACCCTAAACCCTAAGCATCTACAAGATATGGTACCCTGAATCTACCCCAAATAATGGAATCCTTATCAAAGGAACCCCCCCCCCCCCAAAAGGGTACCCTATGTTTGGAACCCCTCATATGAAGATAGCAAGGCAATTTCGCTAATGGCTTTAAGTTAAGCGGCTTCCTAAACCCTAAACCCTAAACCCTAAGCCCGAAACCCTAAACCCTAAACCCTAAAGCTACATACATACCAGCCGTATACACATGAGCCATGAGTACCCGCGAATGACAAATGCATAGAAGTTGGGATGTTCTCCCCTTCTAGTAGCAGTCCTTGAAAGGGATTGTAGCCCACCCGATTACAATCCCCATTAAGGGGTTTAGGGTTTAGGGTTTAGGGTGGTGGTATCCCAACATCGAAGCCCTAAGCTGTCAGGAAGGGTGTTGGGGTACACCACGCCGGGCTGCTGCCTCGGTACCGGTCGCCGGCCCAGCGCTGGGATTCAGGTTTCAGGGGTTTGCGGATCCTTTCTGACGGAGATCTACACGGTCTAGGGGCTTAGGGTTTAGGGTTTTAGGGCTTAGGGTTTAGGGTTTAGGGTTTTAGGGCTTAGGGTGTAGGGGTTTGAGTTCAGGGTCTGGGGTGATAGGGCTTAGGGTTTAGGGTCTCCTAGTCTCAGCCAGGCCTCAGAAAACCCCTGAACCCCAAAACTTGGGATGCTCCCCTTATACGAACAGTCCTTGTTAGGGATTACAGTGCCCCCGGATATCATCCCTAGTAAGGACTGTTAGTATATTATAAGGGGGAACATCCCAGCCTAAAACCATCAAACCCCCAAAATCCCCAAACCTCAAAACCCGAAAACCTTAAGACCCAAAAACCTAAACCTCTAAACCCTATAACCCTATAACCCTATAACCCTATAACCCTAAAACCCTAAAACCCTAAAACCCTAAGCCGCAACCACCCAAAAACCCTAAGACCCAAAAACCTAAACCTCTAAACCCTATAACCTAGAACCATAAAGCCGCCAAAGCCCCTAACACCCCTAAAACCCTAAGACCCAAAAACCTAAACCTGAAAACCCCATAACCCTAAAACCTTAAAACCGAAACCTCTAAACCCTAAACCCTACCCTACTCCCAAACCCTAAAACCCTATAACCCTATAACCCTGAAGAGCGCAGTTCCGCATTGCAACAAAGGCGCCTGGTCGAGCAGCTGTCGCAGGCGGGGCCGTGTGCTGGTTTAGGGTTCCCTAAGCCCTAAACCCTATAAACCCTATAAACCCTATAAACCCTATAAACCCTATAAACCCTATAAACCCTATAAACCCTATAAACCCTACAAACCCGATAAACCCTATAAACCCTATAAACCCTCAACCCTAAACCCTAAACGCGAAACCCTCAACCCTCAACCCTCAACCCTCAACCCTAAACCCTCTAAACCCTAAACCCTAAACCCTAAACCCTAAACCCTAAACCCTAAACCCTAAACCCTAAACCCTCAACCCTCAACCCTCAACCCTCAACCCTTAACCCTCAACCCTCAACCCTCAACCCTCAACCCTAAACCCTAAACCCTAAACCCTAAACCAGGCCAGTCCCTTTTGCTCTGGCGAAGGCCTCCTTGTTGGCCCTCGTGTGCGGCACCGACACGCTCGGAGTGGGCGGCTGCCTCAGCAACAGGAGCATCAAGCATTGAGGGGTTTAGGGTTTAGGGTTTCGGGTTTAGGGTTTAGGGTTTAGGGTGTTGCCCCTAAGGCATGGAACCAAATACAACACCAGCCCAGAGCTCTAAGCCCTAAACCCTAAGCCACACCCCTGCACCACTAGACAGGGTTTAGGGTTAAGGGTTTAGGGTTTAGGGCTTAGGTTTCTCAAAACATCCACAGAAGTCCCAGCGCAGTCGAGGCGTCAACGTCCCCATCAGGAGTGTGCTTTTCACCAGGCGGGCCCAACCAAATCAACAAGCAGTGCTCCTGCCGATTCTTAGCTGAACCCAAGCCCAAACCGGATTTTGGGTTCGACCTAAATAGAGATCTTGGCCGGCAGTCCATGAGCTGGACCGAAGAAGGTGAAGAAAGCGGCGGCCGTGTGTCCTCAAGGCCCCGTGCCCTTAGAGCCCCTTGCCGCATGCCGTCGTCGCTTCTGCACCTCCGTGCTGTCATGCGGCTCGGTGCATTCTGAGCACGATTCCTGGGGGGAGCTCGAGGTATGAGGGTGCCATGTGAGGTGCAGATTCTGGTTCTGGCCTCCTTCACAGTGCAAGCAAACTGCCTGGGCCTGAAGTTTTCCTTCGGCCAGCTCTTCGCAGCCCTCAAGTCGCAGACGGGTGAGTCTGCGGGGACCCTGGCCCTGATCGGGTCCTCGCGCGACTTTGTCTTCCACCTCACGAACATGCTTGCGGGCTTCACCGTGCGGAAGCTGGGCTACGTCCGGATGATGTCTGCGGGACTCCTGGCTTTGGTGGCCAGCCTTCTCCTGGACAGTCGCGCGGCTGCCCTTAAAAGAAGCCCAGCATCCCTCTACCTACATCATCATCCCAGCTGCCCCAGAGCCAAGGCATCACCCCTGGGGCACGGTGGCTCTTCATCTCCTACAGCCTCCTTTCGGGCATTTCCCTGGCCCTGCTCGTCACCCCGGCGCCTCGGGCCTTGGTTTCGGGAAGTTTGAAGAAGTTCGGGCGCCGGGGCTTGAGGTCGGAAGCTGAAGTACACTCAGGCAATCGCCGTGCTCTATGAGCACCTGAAGGGCAATCAGCTGACGGTGGGCGTGCACCTGGCTTCTTCAGGCGGGGGTGGGGTAAGGGAGGCATCAAGGCAGTGGCTGCGCCAGTATTGCGCAGACATCTCGCAGGCCTCGGTGTGGGCGGCTTGCTGGCAAATTCCCTGATGCACTACTCCCACATGGAGTTCGGCTGGCGCGTCACCCAGAAGCTCACTGCAGCCACCTGCGGGGTGCTGCTTGCATCCAGCCTTTTGGGATTCTGGTGGGCGACGCGCGCCCCGAACACGAGCCGCGTGGTGGCCACGGCCGCGCCTCTGAAGAGGTCTCTGTCCTCAGCTCTGAAGGAGCATGGCCAGGAATCGTGGCATGCAGTGTAAGAAGTGGTTTAGGGTCTAGGGTTTAGGGTTTAGGGTTTCGGGCTTGGGTGGGGGGGGTGGGGAGGGGCGGGGGCACGTTCAAAATTTTGCCGAACGTGTCTGACGCCTACAGTACGGGGCCTCCTTTCCTTGTTTTTTTTCAGACTTCAGACGTACATCTGAGCATTCTATGCCTCCCTCAACAACTTCAGCCGAAATTGTAAATCATCCTGAGCTGTGTGAGGATCTGGTTCGTCCATTCGCAGAGATCAACTTCGTCCTGCTTTGTGCGGCGTACTTCTTCTTTTTCTGCGGCTTCACTGTGCCCTACACTCACCTCGTGTTCTACGCGCGGGACGTGCAAGGCTACCAGGACGCACCCACCATGATGGCCAGAATGGGAGCAGCGAGCCGCATCTGCACGAAGCACGCCCCTCCCACATGTGAATTAGACGTGGGGCTGCCGAGCCGCGTGCACCTCGGAGTTTCAGGGCACCGGGGTTGCAGACACGGAAAGAGCACGCCGGAGAGCGGCCGACCCTTTAGGGTTTCGGGTTTAGGGTTTAGGGTTTAGGGCACTTTGGACGTCTAGGCTTGCTGGAGGATCCCCGAAGCCCAGGTGTTACCGCAATCAGTAGTAGAGCCTTGCAGCGTCAGCAGGCGGTGCAACATTTTGCCGCACTTGTGATCTGTGGTTTGTTGCCAAGTGAAGCTGGGTTGGGTGGTGGGAGCTTGACTTCTTCCGAGCTTCGCCCCTAAGCCTAAATTGGCAAACAGGGTCGCAGGGGGGGTGCGTCAGGAAGCGGCGTGGAGGTCCCGGAAAGGACCCTCCCGGTTTTCGCACAGGGGGTGGGGGGGGGGAAAGAGGGAGGTCGGCTTGTTCCAGACGCTGTCGGCTACGGGCCGAGGCGAACTTTGAGGCAAGGACCATGTAGACGCCCAAAAGCCTTAACCCTAAACCCTAAACCCTAAGCCCTAAACCCTAAACCCTAAACCCTAAACCCTAAACCCTAAACCCCAAACCCCAAACCCCAAACCCTAAACCCTAAACCCCAAACCCCAAACCCTAAACCCTAAACCCTGAGGAGCATGCTGGGATCCCTCTCCTGCGGCTTCCTGCCGAGCTTCTGCCGCGCCTCCTCGGTCTTCATGCTTGTCATCGCCATCCAAAGCGTGTCCATGATCTGCTTGCCCTACTGCCACTTAGCTTCCTTTAGGGTTTAGGGTTTAGGGTTTAGGGTTGAGGGTTGAGGGTTGAGGGTTTAGGGTTGAGGGTTGAGGGTTGAGGGTTTAGGGCTGCATTTTTGTCTTCTACGGGTGGCTTCATGGGGACTTATTACCTAGAACCCGGAGTAGGCTCTTATTCCTTTTCTTTTTGTTTAGGGTTGGGGTTCCCTCATCGTCCCCTTAAAACCAGCAAAAGTACCTTTTTTCCTAGGTTACTCCTGGGTCTAGTTAAACTGCCAACCTTAAACTCTACACTCTAAACCCTAAACCCTAAACCCTAAACCCCAAAGGCCATGAGCCAATGGAGCTGGAAGCGTTTGCTCGGCTCTTTGGGACCTTCGCCGGCGTGCGCCTGGGCGTGCAAAGCCTCGTCTTGGCCGAGTTCTTCGGTGGCGACAGGCCTTACTTAGCCTTTATCCCCCTTGGGAATATTAGGGTTTCGGGTTTAGGGTTTAGAGTTAGGGTTTAGGGTTTTGTTTATATAAAACCCAAGAGGATACTAAGAAAACACAATTGTTTGTTGAGGTTCTAAGGGGAGTCTAGTAGCCAACAGCTGAGCTTTTTAACTTTTTGGGCTTCCTTCTTTCGTAGGAGTTAAAGTTTCATCTTGCTTTCGCCGATGGTTATAATAAACAGCTGGACTTTTAGCTTTTTGGGTTTCCTTATTTAGTAGGAAGTGGTTGGAGAAGTAAGCAGGCTGGCACATCTCTATGGCTTGGCAAACCTTCCCATGAGCCTGGGCTCACTGATGGGGCCCGCCGTCGTTGGGGCAATCTACGACGCGAGCCGCAGCTATACCCTGGCCTTCTGGGGCGCCTTGCTGTTGGTTAGGGCTTAGGGTTCAATTGCATTTTTCATTGCGGGTCGGCAAAATCTTGGTGTTTTCACTTCTGTCTAGGGGCCTTTTGAAGCTTCTGAATGCTTTTGGTGGTTCTTGGGGCCTTTCGGGGGCTTTTTGGGGCTTTCCTGGCTCTAAAATGGAGGGGGGGTGTCCAAAACCATCGATTTCAGTACTAAAAATCGCATTTTTCACTGTGGGTACGGACAAAATCCTGGGTTCCCCTTCTTTTAGAAAGCTTTTTGCTGGCTCTTGGGGCTTTTTGGGCTTTTTGTGGGTTGACTGGTCCTGGCGCAGTACAATGGAGGGGTGCTCAAGGGTGTAAGGGAGGCGTAAGGGGGTTCTAAAAGGGGGGTTTCAGAAGAAAAGGGCGTGCAACGGCTTTCCTGGCCGTAAAATGGAGGGGTGCCCAAAACCACCGATTCCAGTACCATAAATCGCATTTTTCACTGTGGGTACGGACAAATCCTGGGGTCCCCTTCTTTTAAGGGGCTTTTTCGTGGCTCTTGGCGCCTGTCGGGCTTTTTGGGCGTTTAGGGTTTAGGGTTTCGGGTTTAGAGTTTCGGGTTTAGGGTTTAGGGTTTCGGGTTTCGGGTTTCGGGGGTTTAGGGTACCTCATCCCCCCCCCCCATTCCCTACTAAGCAACAGTAAGGCGCCGGGCTGCAGATGCTGCTGGCCATCCCGCTCCTCATCCTGGTGCGGTGCCGATCGTACGCGCGAGTTGCTGTGGCCGCGAAGTAGGGCGAGGGGAGCCTGAACAGGCATAGGGTTGGGGCTTTGGACAGGAAAGGCAAAGCCACCTAACACGTCATGTTTAATGGAGCATGAACCTTCAAGCTTAGAGCAGCACAGGCCCCCTGGCCTACAACTTTGGGGGGGGTTAGGTTCCCTTACGCCTCTCGAGTACGCCGGGCAGCCTTCCAATTCTCAGGATACCCAGGAACCTTGACCCCAAAGACTTAAAGTCCTACTTAAAGATTAGGGTTTAGGGCTTGGGTTTAGGGTTTAGGGTTTAGGGTTTAGGGTTTAGGGTTTAGGGTTTAGGGTTTAGGGTTTAGGGCTTAGGGCTTAGTGCTTAGGGCTTAGGGCTTAGGGCTTAGGGTTTAGGGTTTAGGGTTTAGGGTTTAGGGTTTAGGGTTTAGGGTTTAGGGTTTAGGGTTTAGGGTGTAGGGCTTAGGGTTTAGGGTTTAGGGTTTATGGTTTAGGGTTTAGGGTTTAGGGTTTGGGGTTTAGGGTTTAGGTTTTGGGGTTTAGGGTTTAGGGTTTACGGGTTAGGCAGCCGGACCTAGTAGAGGGAACCAGAAGTGCAGCAGTCTTCAAAGCCCCAGTGATCTGAAAAGGCTCAGATCTGGGCCCTACCCTGTTCAGGAGAGCTGCTGGTTTGGGGTTCAGGGTTCAGGAATTTAGGGTTTAGGGTTTAGGGTTTAGGGCTTAGGGTTAAGGAATTTTGGAGGGGTTTTTAGGGGTTCGAGGTTGGCTTGTAGGCTAGGCTGTGATCGCCAGCACCTAGCCCTGAATCAAATCCCCAAACCCCTAAGCCAACCTTTGCTACGCCCCCAGCCTAAACCCTAAATCTTAAGTCCTAAACCCTAAACCCTAGACCCTAGACCCTAAACACTTAAGACGAATCCCAAACTTGGAAAACCCAAACCCGTAAGACGAATCCAAAACTTGGAACACAAAAACAGGCCCCAACCCCAAAACCCCAAACCCCCCCCTAAACCCCCCCCAAACCCCAAAACCCCACCTCCCAAAGCCGCAGCCTCCCAACCTTCAAAACGTAAGGGTTTAGGGTTTAGGGTTGAGGGTTTGGGGTTTAGGGTTTAGGGTTTAGGGTTTAAGGCCTAAGGGTTTACGGTGACTGCCCCGAATTGGTGCATGTCGAGGACCGGGCCGAAGGCAAAAAGTGGTGGGTTGTTAGGGGTCCCTAAACCCTAAACCCTAAACCCTAAACCCTAAACCCTAAACCCTAAACCCTAAACCCTAAACCCTAAACCCTAAACCCTAAACCCTAAATCCCAAACCCTAAACCCTAAACCTTAAACCCTAAACCCTAAACCCTAAATCCCAAACCCTAAACCCCAAACCCCAAACCCCCAAACCCTAAATCCCAAACCCTAAACCCTAAACCCTAAACCCTTTGAGGGCAGTTTTTCCGGGTTGTGGGCGCTAAGCCCGGAGCCCTCAAGCCTTTAAGACTTCTGCCGCTCTTTACTTAGGGTTTAGGGTTTCGGGTTTCGGGTTTCGGGTTTAGGGTTTAGGGGTGGCCTTTGTGCCCTAAGCATGCAGGAGGCAGTAGGCCACACCGTGACAGCATGTAGGGTTTAGGGTTTAGTTTTTAGCTTTTAGGGTTTAGGGGGTTGGAGGCTGCTTCGGGAGGACCAGCGAAGGCTCGGAGCCTTCTTGGGGACGCGATGTCGGGTTGAGGGATTGCCACATACCCGAACCCTTAAGACCCTAAGCCCTAAACGCCCCTAAACCCCTAAACCCCTAAACCCTTAAGCCCCTAAGCCCTAAACCCTAAACCCACCCTAAACCCAAAATCCGACGGCCTCCCTGGCTGAAAGGCTCTGCAAGTTCGATGGCGAAGATACCCGGCTCATGAGGTACGGGGACTGGCCAGGGTTTGGGATTTGAAGCTTTGGAGGGCGCGCCGGAATTTAGGGTTTGGGGATACCCTTACCAGCCCTGAACCCTAAACCCTAAACCCTAAACCCTAAACCCTAAACCCTAAACCCTAAACCCTAAACCCTAAACCCTAAACCCTAAACCCTAAACCCTAAACCCTAAACCCTAAACCCTAAACCCTAAACCCTAAACCCTAAACCCTAACCCTACACCCTAAACCCTAAACCCTAAACCCTAAACCCTAAACCCTAAACCCTAAACCCTAAACCCTAAACCCTAAACCCTAAACCCTAAACCCTAAACCCTAAACCCTAAACCCTAACCCTAAACCCTAAACCCCAAACCCTAAACCCTAAACCCTAAACCCTAAACCCCAGACCCTAAACCCTGGCATCCCAAACCCGACGACCTGCTTGTGCAGGCCCCGCGAGTTCCATCAGATAGCCGGCCGGGCTGGAAGGACAGGGTGTTGTTTTAGGGTTTAGGGGTTAGGGTGGGTTTTAGGCCCTGAGAACCCTTAACCCAGGGCTTAGGGGTTGAGGGTTTAGAGTTTTAGAGTTTAGGGTTAGGGTTTTAGGGCTGAGGGTGGAGGGTTTAGGGTGGGTTTTCGGCCCTGGGCCCCCTAAACCCTAAACCCTAAACCCTAAACCCTAAACCCTAAACCCTAAACCCTAAACCCTAAACCCTAAACCCTAAACCCTAAACCCTAAACCCTAAACCCTAAGCCCTAAGCCCTAAGCCCTAAGCCCTAAGCCCTAAACCCTAAACCCTAAACCCGAAACCCTGAACCCTGAACCCTGAACCCTGAACCCTGAACCCTGAACCCTGAACCCTGAACCCTGAACACTAACCCTAAACCCCAAACCCCAAACCACAAGCCCCAAACCCAAAAACAAGACCTCCCTGACACAGCAGGATGCCTTTCTCACAGGCCTAGGGGGTTTAGGACCCAGTCTCGGGAGGCCCTTGGGAGACTTCATATTTTCAGCTTTTTGCGTTGAAGAGGAAGATCTCTAGGAATATTTTTAAAGGGGCTTTAAGTCCTAGTAGTTGCTTTCGGGACTTTAGATCCGACATCTAGCAACTCTTGTGGAGCACAGCAGGGACCTCCTGAGAATTTGATTTTTCGGGGTTTAGGGTTTAGGGTTTAGGGTTTAGGGTTTGAAGGGTTTAGGTTTAGGGCGAGCCTGGTTGAAGATTGTTGCCTACCCCGTTAGCTCCAAGCCTCGTTTCTCCTGTCATCACAACGTCTCAGATCATTGTGGAGCTACCTCAGCCCTAAACCCTAAACCCTAAACCCTAAACCCTAAACCCTAAACCCTAAACCCTAAACCCTAAACCCTAAACCCTAAACCCTCAGCCCTAAACCCTAAACCCCAAACCCTAAACCCTAAACCCCCGACTCCCATGATGACAGCGCGGTGGCGCAGGTTTTAGGGTCGAGCTGATTGAAACCTTTGTCGTACATCGCCGGAGTTTTGGAGATGAAGGGGGTGCTTGAAACCCTAAATCCCAAAGCCCTAAACCTCTATGAACCCTAAACCCTAAACCCTAACCCCTAAACCCTAAACCCTAAACCCTAAACCCTAAACCCTAAACCCTAAACCCTACACCCTAAACCCTAAAAACCCCCTAAACCCTAAACCCTAAACCCTAAACCCTAAACCCTAAACCCTAAACCCTAAACCCTAAACCCTAAACCCTAAACCTAAACCATAAACCCTAAACCCTAAACCCTAAACCCTAAACCCTAAACCCTAAACCCTAAACCCTACACCCTAAACCCTAAACCCTAAACCCTAAACCCTAAACCCCGAAACCCGAAACCCTGAAACCTGGAATCGCGGAACCTTCAGCCTCACCACTCGAGCGAAACAGGAAAGGATTTGACACACGTGGCGATGTGGTGGCTGGCACCTGAGCTTCTTCTAGCCTGCTCAAGAGAGAGAGAGAGAGAGAGAGAGAGAGAGAGAGAGAGAGAGAGAGAGAGCGAGAGGGAGTGGGTTTAGGGTTCAGGGTTTAGGGTTTGGGGTTCAGGGCTTTGGGTTTAGGTAGGGTTTAGGGTTCAGGGTCCAGGGTTTAGGGTTTAGGATTTTAGGGCTCAGGGTTCAGGGCTGACAGGGGGAGTGGGCGGGTTCCCGTGGCCCCTGAACCCTAAGCCCATTGAGGCTTCACCAGGCCCAGGAACGGCCCCCCCTTTGGCGAGGCTGTGGACCCGGACTGGGTGGTCCACAACAGGGAGCTGGAGGCCGGTTTGGGGTGGAGGGGGGGGGGTGGGGTGGGGCTTAGGGGTTTAGGGGCTGGCTTAAGGGTTTAGGGGTTTAGGGGTTTAGGGGTTTCGGGGTTTAGGGGTTTAGGGGTTTAGGGGTTTAGGGGTTTAGGGGTTTAGGGGTTTAGGGGTTTAGGGGTTTAGGGGTTTAGGGGTTAGGTGTACGTGCATGGGAAGAACAGGGGTACCCCTTGTATCTTCCTCACCCTGGGAAACTCCCACATTGTTGTTGAAGACTACATTTTGTACGGTGTCGGTATGTATGATGAGCAGTTTGTGGCGTTCGTTGACTGTTTCCTAACCCCCCGTACAAAGAAAAACAGCCCAAAACCCCCAAAGCGCCCCAAGGCCCAAGCCCTAAAATCTTACAGCCTTCAGCCCGAATTAAACCCTGAGAACCCTAAACCCTGAACCCTGAACCCTAAACCCTAAGCCCCAAACCCTAAACCCTACAGAAGCTCCGGGCCGGGTCCTCGGCGAGCCGGCCGCCTCCGCGCTGGCGGCGGCCGCCTCGCAGGTGCAGCAGCATGAGTTTTTCGGGGTTTAAGGTTCAAGGGTTTAGGGTTTAGGGTTTAGGGTTTAGGGTTTAAGGGTTAAGGGTTTAGGGTTTAGGGTTTGAGGGTTTAGGGTTTGGGGCTTAGGGTTTAGGATGTAATGTTTAGGATCTGGGCTTTAGGGTTGGCACAGGTGTAAGTGTTTCAGGGGTTTTTGAAAGATTGGTTGAGCGCTTGAAGGTTTTAGCAAAGTGGGTAGCGGGTTTGGTGCTTCAGGGGTGTAGGGTGTAGGGTAGAGGGTTAAAGGGATTTGTTTAGGGATTGAAGTCTTTTTTAGAGGTTCAGGGTTCAGGAATCAGGGTTTAGGAGTTTTGGGGTTTCCGTGCAAGCTGAACGGGGTTTCAAACCTTTGGCCCTATAAAACCTAAACCCTAAACCCTCAACCCTGAACCCTGAACGCATTCAGTTTTTTTTGTCTCTGCCATGCTAGAGACTTGGGGTTGCTGCCATGTTTTGATAGGGCTTCTCCTAGGATTCTACCTTGTCCCCTAGGTTGTACCATTTGGGTTTAGGGGTTGGGGTTTGGGGACCCGATTTCAAGACCCTCTAAGGGAAGATAAGGGCACGTATCAGGAGTATATTCAGGTTCACCAGGCTGAAAGGGATGGATTGAAGCTAAGGACCACAGGAGTAAACTCCCCCAGACCGAAAGCCCTAAACCTTCAACCCTAAACCCGAAGGAAACAGGCGGATCACAGACTTTGGACCGTCCTGCTTGAGTGCATGTGCCTAAGGAAATATGTTTAGGGTTTAGGGGTTTACGGCCGAGTGGCCCCCCATGTCGTTTCTAGCAAGCAAGAACGCTTTTCGAGGATCTGCTACATGTCAGGGGCCGCATTGTATCACCGAGAACTTACCTTTCTGCCACTAAGTAACGGCGGAATGCCAGAAAGGAACAATCGGAGGCACTGAAGTTCTTGGTTCCGTTGCATGTCGGCTCGACGTTTGAGAATTATCGATCAGTGTTTCACAAAGGCAACCAATGTAAGGAGATAGCCTGCAGCTCGCAGTGTGCAGACATGGCAGCTGAAGGTTGTTGCAAACGCTGTCAAGCCATACTGCAGCTTGTGTTGGCTTAGCTTTCCGTGGTCCGCGAGCACCCGCGGTGAGAGCCATGGCAGAGGAGGCCGGCCCGATCCTGAACCACAGCAGTGTTCAACACAAAACACGGCACCATGAGCCCAACAGCCCCAAACCCTTAACCCAGAACCCTACACACCCTAAAAGCTCCAGATGTGGTGCGCGTTCATGGCCGGAGCCTCCACTCGACACCTAGCCAGAACAGCAAGAAGCAACGCAGGGACGATGCAGGAGATAACAGGAGGCACAGTGCAAGTGTTCGAGACAAGCCCTGCACCGAGCGCTCTCTTGCGAGTTTTTGCGGGTTAGGAGTTAGGCGCTCGGTACCCTTCTGCCCTCAGCTCTTGCACCCTAACCTCGATGAAGCCAGAACCCCCAAAGCAGCCCTATAGCCCAAACAATCGCCAAACCCTGTTGTGCCCTTCCTTCGGAGACGTTTACCCACAATACACCCTAAGTCCCTGCATCACCGGAAGCCGCAAACCATGGGTTCAAAACTTGGGAGGCAGTCCGTGCGCCGGAAGAGGAGGATGAGGCAGTGTTTTTGTGTTTTTCGATTTTTTTCACACCATGGCGTGGGATTGTTAGGGTCCGAAGTATGGGCCCTTAATTTGGGTCCCTTGTATTCTAGCCCTCGTGTACACTATACATAATAAGGCCCTGAACCTTAAAATCTAAACCCTAAACCCTAAACCCTAAACCCCCTCCTCTTAGCCCCGTGTAGTGCCCGGTCTCCTGGCGAATGCCTTTAGGGTTTAGGGTTTAGGGTTTAGGGTTTAGGGTTTAGGGTTTAGGGTTAGCACAGAAGCCCCGCTGCCCAGAGACTCCCACAGAAGGCCCTCCCGAGTATCGCCGAGTCAGCCCTAAACCCTATACCCTAAACCCTAAACCCTAAACCCTAAAACCCTAAACCCCAAACCCTAAACCCTAAACCCTAAACCCTAAACCCTGCAAAGGCGCTGGAGGGCCTGCCATCGCCGACCTCGGTCCACGAAGCTGCGGGGGACCTGGCGCTTCGGGAGTCTGGGGTTTAGGGTTTAGGGTTTAGGGTTTAGGGTTTAGGGTTTAGGGTTTAGGGGTTAGGGGTTAGGGGTTTAGGTGTTTAGGGGCTAGGGTTTTGGGGTTTAGGGGTTGAGTGGTTTAAGGGTGGGCTGTAGGGTTTTGACTCTTAATGTCTTCCTCTAGGGGTTCACGGTTTGGGGGGGCCCATTGGTGGGTCTCTCGAACGAACTTCAAGGCTTAGGGCGTGTTTAGGCTCTAGGCTTTTAGGGGCTTTTCAGGGGGCCTTTCAAGAGTTTAGTTTTTTTTGGTTCAGGGCTTTCGAGGCCATATTTTTTCTCCAGGGTTTAGGGTTTTGACAAAGGTAATCCTTAAAGAAGAAACATGTTTATGCTCAATTTTGCTAAGGTATGCTACGGAGCTTTAGGTCATTCTCCAAATCTGCTGAAAAACAAATGGTTGAGAGCATGGTAAGTTCTAATTGTGTCTTCAATGTTAAGAAATAAGATGTTTGCACATTTAGAGAATATTTTGATTCTGAGTGATGATTTTCGGTGCAACTTTGTAAAACTATATATTTTGAATATATATATATATATATGTGTATATGTATATCATCTTTTCGCAGTAAAATGTTGTTCTATTTCAGAAACTGTATCTGTCCAAACTTTACATACGCAATTCTATAAATTATTGTTGTTTAGGCTTTCGGATTAGGGATTGCCTTAACCTGAGCCTGAGCTGTAATGACAAAACTCGATTGCCAACGGCAGGCTGATGTCATGGAAGACGTGCTGATGCCAGCGGAAGATGCAGCCGATCTGAAATCAGTCGACGTGTTGTGATATAAGGTGACAGATGCTTTGTAAGTGTGTTGGTGCGACATCAGCTGGGTGCGCATGCGGGCTTGCGAAGACGTGCGCGTGCCTTCGCCGTATTTCCTAGTCCTTGAGGATCAGTGATTTAGGGTTCCGCCTCTAGGGTTTCGACCACTCATTGCATCCCACCAGTCCCACATGCTTGGTGCTCAAGCTTGCTGCCTAACGGCTAGCACGACGCATTGTTGCTTCTTACGGCCATGAGTATGCTTACCAAGCTGTGCCCACCCCTGTCATGACAAGTTCGGCAGAGTCAACTTGCAACCGTGGCAACGGCTGTTGGGCATCGTCGTAATTCCTTGAATTTAGCGGATTTTGCCGGAGCTTGTTATTCTGCTGCGGTGTTTGGCATGCAGGCACACGCAGAGGACGCGTTGCAGGCCCCCTGTTTGTGCGCGGCTTGCCATGCGAGTGGCCGACCAAGTACAGCAATATGCCAGGTGCCCCGAAGCCTCTTGACCCCAAACCCCGAGACGCCCCCAAAACCTATACCTTAAACCCTAAACCCTAAAGCCTAAACCCTAAGCCCTAAGCCCTAAGCCCTAAGCCCTAAGCCCTAAACCCCAAACCCCAAACCCCAAGCCCCTGAACTGCAAAACCCTCAAAGATACAACCCTGACTGGAGAGGAAGACGGCGAACAAAAGGCCGATTCGAAGGATGATCGGCTCATGAAGGCGGGGATTGTTGGGTTTAGGGTTTAGGGTTTAGGGTTTTAGGGGTTGAGGGTTTAGGGTTTTAGGGTTTTGGCGTTTTTGGGTTGAGGGTTTTAGGGTTGAGGGTTTAGGGTTTAGGGTTTAGGGTTTAGGGTTTAGGGTTTAGAGTATCCTGACCAGGTGCCCCTAGCCCCTAAACCGGAAGCCCATACTCTAAACCTCAAGGCCCAGCACCCTTGGCAACCCTTGCCCGGCGGTCTCATCCCCTAAATCCTAAACCCTAAACCCTAAACCCTAAACCCTAAACCCGAAACCCTAAACCCTAAACCCTAAACCCTAAACCCTAAACCTTAGACAGGTCAAGGGCCTGGACAAGCAGCAGCTCTGCATTGACCTGCTGATGGTCGGTTCCGTGGCGGCACACCTTGGGGGGTTGAGGGTTTTTGCATTTTAGGGTTTTAGGGTTCTAGGGTTGAGGGTTTTGAGGAATTTGAGGGTTTTGAGGGCTTTGAGGCTTTTGAGGCTTTTGAGGGTTAATAGCTTTTAGGGTTTTTGATTTTCAGTTTTCAGGGGTCACACTTGGCAGTTGAGTTTTGAGGGTTTCTAGATTCTGGGTTTCGTTTTTTGGGGTTTTGAGGGTTTAGTTTCTAGGGCTTCGAGGGTTTATAGCTTTTTGGGTTCAGTTTTTAGGGATTTGTTTTCAGGATCTAAGATGTTAGGGTTTTGGTTTAGAGTTTTGGCTTTTAGGGTTTGGTCTTGGGTTTTGGCTTTGAGGTTTGTAGGTTTTAGGGTTTGGGGTTTCGTCTCCAGAGGGTGCCGAGTAGAGTTTAGGATTTAGGGGGTTTGGAGTTTGCTGTGCAGGGTTTAGGCACTGTTTAGAATTTGGGCTTGAGAGTTTAGGGTTTAGCTTTTAGGGTTAGGGCTTAGGGTTCGCGGGTCTCAGGGGTTAATTCAAGCTTAAGCGGGATCATTGTGGGCTTTGGGCTTGGGATGCTCAGGACCCCCTTCTGAAACATGGGGCTCCCAGCTCAAGCCTAAAACCCTGAGCCCTAAACCCTAAACCCTAGGCCCTAGACCCTAATTAAACCCTAAACCCTAAACCCTAAACCCTAAACCCTAAACCCTAAACCCTAAACCCTAAACCCTAAACCCTAAACCCTAAACCCTAAACCCTAAACCCTAAACCCTAAACCCTCTCTACCATATATATTTAAACCCTAATTGTATTTTCAGAATTTGGCCGCTTTATTTTCAGAATTTGGCCGCTTTATTTTCAGAATGAGCCAAAATATCAGGCCAAAGGCTAATTGAATTTCAGAATTTGGCCGCTTTATTTTCAGAATTTGGCCGCTTTATTTTCAGAAATTGGCCGCTTTGTTTTCAGAATTTGGCCGCTTTATTTTCAGAATTTGGCCGCTTTATTTTCAGAATTTGGCCGCTTTGTTTTCAGAATTTGGCCGCTTTACTATTTTCAGAAATTGGCCGTTTTTGGCTTTCTCAATTCAATGTAGTGGGATTCTCTGGGTGGGTGGGTGTTTTCTCCAAGCCGTAAATAAAGCTTTACCATAAAACTGCTCGACCCGGAGTGCTGAACCCTAAACCCTAAACTTAAACCCTAAACCGCTATCAGGCTGTGTCCAGTCCTACGTGGACTTCTTCTACATCACCCACCGCAAGGCGGCGCCGAAAGAAGGAGCCAACGAGGATGAGGCAGCGCCAGGAAGCCCCCAATCCCTAACCCCTAAGCCCTAAGCCCGAAGCCCTAAGCCCTAAGCCCTAAGCCCTAAGCCCTAAACCCTAAACCCCAAACCTACACCCTAAACCCTAAACCCTATATTAAACCCTGAACCCTAGCCCTAAACCCTAAACCCTCAGCCCCCAGCACCAGGTGAAAGACGTCGTCATTCCGGAGGAGACCTTGATCTTCCTCAAGGCTCGGGGCCAGTTGAGAGGTTTTAGGGTTTGGGAATCTGGAGGGGCGTAGTATTTAGGGTTTAGAGTTTAGGGTTTAGGGTTTGGGGTTCGGGGTTTGGGGTTTAGGGTTTGGGGTTTGGGGTTTAGGGTTTAGGGTTTGGCGTCGTCTCAGGAGTCGTCTCACGTGCTTTCTGTAGGCTTCGCCATACATGCCTGCCGTGAGAGCTTCCGAGGCTCCACGTAATCCGAACCCAAACCCCAAGCCCTAAACCCCAAACCCCAAACCCTAAAAACCCTAAATAAACCCTGAACCCTAAACCCTAAACCGCCCGTCAACGCTAAACTCCGCAATCAGGAGACGCTGGAGCAGGCCGAATCTGCAAGGAGGCTGCGCAGCTATTTGCAATGCTCCTGGGCCCATTTCCTGGTGTCCCCGAAACGTAGCAAGAAGGTTCAGGGTGCAGGGTCCCTAAACCCTAAACCCTAAACCCTAAACCCTAAACCCTAAACCCTAAACCCTAAACCCGAAACCCCAAACCCTAAATCCTAAACCCTAAGCCCCAAATCCCAGTATAAGTCCTGTATCATCCCAGTGGCCAAGCTTTTGGTACTCCTGCAAGAAATGGACGTAGAGTCCGTTTAGTGTGAGGGATGCCTTGACCCTAAACCGAATGTGGGGGGTCCAAATTACATATCCGAATCCTCCTGAACCTCCCCAAACTGGTTCTTTGTAGGGCTCAGGGTTTAGGGACAGATCCCCCTTTCTATCCCTCGAAGGGACTGATATGGGGAACCTAACCTCCCCTAAATTCCTATGATCCCTACACCCTAAACCCTAAACCCTAAACCCTAAACCCTAAACCCTAAACCCTAAACCCTAAACTCGAGGCTACGAGAGCTACAACTCCCTGGCCGAGTTCTTCGAGACGGTTCCGGACCTCAAGAGTGCGATGTGCCCCGGGCTTCCGCAAAGCTTGGAGCCGCTGGTGGGGAAGTTGAGCCACAAGCCCTCAACCCTAGAACCTAAATCCTAGACCCTAAATCTCCGGGTTTGTAAGCCCTAAATCCTAAACCCTAAAAATACCAAAAGAATATTCATATATATATATATATAGATATAGATATAGATATATCAGTAGTGTCGGCTTGTTTCTGCTCCTCAAGACCTCCCCAGATTCCTTAAAACCGCCAAGTAAACCCTAAATCCTAAACCCTAAACCCTAAGCCCTAAGCCCTAAGCCCTAACCCTAAGCCCTAAGCCCTAAGCCCTAGAAGCCTTG